GCCTGGCCTCGGCCCCAGCGGCGGCGCAGGCACTTCAATCTCCCGCGGCGGCCGCTCTGCTCGCGTCGCTCCCCGATGATGCGGCCGCTGCCAGCCCCGTCCCGGTCTCGCCCTCCCGCCTCGCCGCCTCTCATCACTCTCCGGAGCGGCGCGCGCACCCGCGCCGCTCCCCCTCCGGCGCCCGCTCTTGGTTTGGCCCATCGGCCACACCTGCTGCGGGCTCGTACCATTTGCCGCACAGGGGAGGAAAAGAGGCGGCCGGGGAGAACGCCCCAGGTGCTGGAGCAGGGAGCGGCGTTTCGCGCGGGGCTGTTTCGCTGGGCTTCGTCGCTGGGTGGCCTTAAGGAAACGGATGGTTGCCGAGGCGAGCGGCAGTCGCCTCATGTCCGTCCGTCCCGTCCCCCCCCCCGCAGGAGGCAGGCAGTGGTACAGCCGGGGAACGTCTCCCCCCTACCCGGCAGGTCCCGGTGTTGGGGTCCGTCGCACGCGCGCGCCCTAATGGCTCCGCTTCCTGCAGTAGTTTAACGTGGTTGTAAACCCCCCCGGCTGTGGGGGGCAAGGGGAAACGTTTTTAAGAGTTTTTCTGACAGGTAATTTTTTTTTTTTAACAAGTTAACAGCTCGGAGGAACAGGTGCGGGACAGGAGAGAGGGGAGCCGGCAGTCCGATCGGCCGGCCTCGCCGCCGAAGTTGTTAAACTGTGCCCTCGCTATGTGTGTGCCGTTACAGTAATAGTGTGTGCCTACCGCACTGCTCTTCCTCAGAAATGCAGTAACAGACATGAAGAAATATGTGAAATGTCTGTAAATCAGTAGTGGGAAGGTTGTGAGAAGAGTAAGCAAGCGTGTCGCAAATTCAAATTTGGTTTGGGTTTGGGTTTTTTTCCCCCAAATAAAGTGCTTATTCTGGCCAGAAAATCACTCAAAAACACATGATCAAGACAAAGTGTTTAGGGGGAATTAGCAAAATTAATTAAATAAATAAATGACTTCAAGTATTAATAGTGGTGATAAAGCCTGATGCTTAAGGGGACACAGTGAAAAAAAAAACAAAACAGAAGTGTGGTCTGGGTAGAAAAAAAATATTTTTAGGTCGCCTGTTTGCTTAGTAGGCTGAGATTTTTGTCTTTGTCTGAAATGACCGTTTTTGGTTGAAATAGAATACAAGGTTATATAAACCATTAGGCTTATCTGGTAAGGTCCAATTCAGCCTATGTTTTCTGTGCACAATAAATAGAAGTCAGCATCTGAACAGTACTTGAAGAGAGTAGGCTAAAAAACAATCCAGTGTAAGTCATTTATCCCTATCTGGTCTTAGGTTTTTAAAGTTACAGTACACTACACGTTTAAGCTGGTTGTGCCTCCACGTGCTGGCATTTGTGCTGGACAGTGAAGCACACTGAGAAAACTGACCCGGCTGGCAGCCAAGCGTTCCCCTGCAATATTTTTGAGTGAGACCAGGTCTTCAAACCATTTTGCTATGCACTTGCTGTGCAAACACCAGCACAAGAGCAGGAGAAGGTGGGAAAGAGAAAATAGATGAAGAGGAGACAGCAGCTTTCGGTTCTGGTGTAGCGCCAGGCCAGATCCTTGTCAAACTTCAACCTGAGAGACCAAGGATGTTAGAGTTGTCCCAAACCCCTTGAACCAAATCTTAACAGCCTGTTCAAAGTTTTAGTTTAATACTTCCATGGTAAAATTGCTTCCCCATCAAATGTGTGCATTCTGACAAGTCATCATTACTTGGTTTTGGAGTCTTTTGTGAATGTTTACAATTCCTTATCCATGTTGTGTTCATACTGACATCTAAAAAACAGTTATGCCCCTCATGCAGAAGCTTTAAAAATACATATATATACAAAATAATTGAACAGTAAGAGATTCTGTTAGCTGTTGAAAGGAAAAAATAAACTTTTCCTGACATCAGAGGTAGCATAAATAGTTCTGTCCAACATTCAATTGAGTCGGTAGGAAGACTTCTATTGCCATTAGTGGGTGATGGATCAGGCTTAAATACAGGAGGGTAAGAGCATTTTCAACATAAACCATTTTATTTTTGGATCTCTGTGTGTAGATAAGCTTGTTTTTAATTCTGCTGATGAAGAATAGACCTGGATTTCATGTCTGTCTTGCAGAATAACAGTGCAGTCATAGCGGAATACAGTAATGGCTGCATTACTCCTGCATACTATTTATAGCTGACTGCATCTTTGTGCTCTATGCATGAGTCAAAGATCATCACTCCCAGGATCCTTCCTTCATTACATCTCAGGGTACTACAGAAATGCAGTCTACTTGAGTTCAAAATTATTATTATTCAAAAATGTAGTAATCATGTAACATTTGACCTTCTGGAGAA